CTGCAATTAAAACATTGCATGTCTCTTCATCACAATCCCTGACTGACCTGATTAAAAACTCACAGAGAACGTCGACAGATCCGAACGAGAAAACGTCAGCGTTAAACCAGCAGTGAATCACCTTCAATAACCTCAATATCAACACCTGGATGAATATTTAAAGAACAGATGACAAGCCGCTGCATAATCAGAAATCATTCATATCATATCCAGTGCAATAATGACACAAAATAAAACTCACGCAGACACAGAAGTGGAAAACTCAGGTTTGGTTTATCTAGAGCAAATTCTACACAGGTGAGCGTGAACAAAACCAGGTCGTATATACAGCAGCAGTGTCAAATAAATACAGACGTGGATATTAAACATAAGCATGCGCAGCATGTGAAGCTCTATGTCTCAATCTACCACCATTAGCAAAGCGTTGATGCAAAACTCCCTTCAGTTAACTAGGGGTTTAATCAATGATCTGAGTTGCTCTCGTCAAACTGAATTAAAGATTCAAGCAGATCTGTATGTAGTGCCCTATAAAGTATTTACAAATATCATATTTGATTCTCTTAGCTTCACATATAATGAAGTGAACAGTAGTGGCGTTTGTGCAGTGAAAGAGTCCAGAAATCTCCTAAATAAGAAATGTTTAAAATATAGTATCTTTTTTAATCTAAATGGATCATTACTAGAAGGATTGTAGATGATTCACTCACAAAAACACCTTTTTTGTGCGGAATGTTCTTTGGGATTTCTAACTAGATTTCTTTTCATAAACCGCTGTAAGGCCTTTCAAATCAAAGCAGAGAAAGGAAAATCTAATGAAATCTTGAGTTAAACGTCCAGCAAAAGCACAGAGTGATTCATTTAAGCACCAAGATTTAAAACCGGGTACAAAAAGACTAACAAACGGCACAAACAGGCGCAAACCTTCCTAAAGCACAACAACTGGGTTAAAACAGCAATCAACTAGTAAAAATCCAATTTGGATTATTTTTAGTTACAATTATCGCTCTAAAAAGTCTAAAAAGTTTAGAATTCCACTTTTACTTTGATTTGTATCATACATTTAGTGTGTGTGTATGTAAGTGAATCTTTAATGTAATGATTCAGTTTTGTTTTGGATCATTTCTGAGGAAGATTCTAATACTTGAATTATTTATATCTCAGATTATCAAATTTTATATTTTGTACACAAAAACCCATCAATGTGGTCCTTAAATAAAAAAAGGAGACACATTTATCATAAATCTCCATGTTAGTGTTGAAATAATCATGGTTCTTCAGCGCTGGAATGTGAGATTTTGAACTAAATTTGCGCTAATATTCATCGTTCTTACAGTCAAAAGCTCTTCGCCTGCTGGCCGGAAATAAAACAAATACTGTACAAATACAATCTCGCTTCTTGCATATTCTTAAATGCCCAAAAATGATTCTCGTCACTAAAAGAGCATCCTAGAGAACTTGAGGCAGCAGCGTTAAAGACGTAAAAATAGGCGTTACATTCACTAATGAGAGGTAAGACGACTCCTGATTGGCCGATCGGACAGAACATTACATGTGCTTTGAATATGAGGACGATAAACGCCACAGCAACGGTAAAAGAGCAATAAAAACAGTTTCTCTTACACACAGAGGCACGACTGCTGCACACACACACACACACTCACACACATGTCTGGTCAGCTATCCTTGTGGGGACTCTCCATAGGCGTAATGGTTTTTATACTGTACAGACCGTATATTCTATTGTCCTACACCAACCCTACCCCTAAACCTACCCCTCACAGGAAACTTTGTGCATTTTTAGATTTTCAAAAAACTTAATTCTGTGTGATTTATTAGCTTGTTTACCCGTGGGGACCTCAATTTAGGTCCCCACCGTGACACGAGTCCCCATGAGTCTGTGTGTATTCAGGTTTAAGTCCCCACCAGAATAGAAAAACAGGCACACACACACACACACACACACAGCATGTTGGACAAACGCAGCTGATCACAAACCTCGGCGGGCTCTGGTTGAATGGTGTAAGTGTTTGCACCTGTTCAATGAATCACCCTTTAATGAAGCGAATGCGCACGCGCAGCTAGAGATCTACTCGCAAATATGCAAAATCACGGGAGAGCGCTTGAGGACGCATGGAGTGATTCAGCTGTGAGACGAGACGTCTGAAGAGCTGCTGCTGTTGCTGTTGGTGATTTGAGCTCGCTTGATGTACAGATTCAGCAGCTTCATCTGTAGAGAGAAAATCAGACACGTCAGCTGCCTAGATAGACAGTATTATAAGGGATCATCACAGGTGCACTGCTGAAAACTCTCACTAAACAAAAAGAAAGGAACGTTTACAGGGTTATTATAGGCAACTAAAACCATAAAATCTTTTTTTTATACTTGAAATAACATTACAAGAAATACAAGAAAAACAACATTTCTCATTGTTTTTTTTAAGTTGAAGCGCTAAAACTAAATCAACTAAACTAAAAACCTTAATAAAAACTATAGACATATTTTAAAAAAACGGACAAAAACAAAATTACTAAAACTGTAAAAAGTGAAATTAAAATAAAAACATAAAAATAAAATCCATTCAAAATATTTACAAAAACTATTATAGTATAACAATAATACTAAAATAACACTGGTACATTATGCTGCTTTCTAAGAGACCTCATATTTAGGCAAAAAAAGGCATCATCACATATACACTACCATTAAAATTTTAAGGTCAGTAAGAAATGTTCATATTTTGAAAGAAAATAATACTTTTATTCAACACAGGTGCATTAAACTGATCAGAAGTGTCAGTGAAGACATTTATAATGTCACAAAAGATTTCTATTTCAAATAAATGCTGTTCTTTTGAACTTTCTATTCAGCTGTGAATCCTGAAAAATAAATGTATCACAGGTTCCACAAAAATATTGTGCAGCGCAACTGTTTTCAACATTGATAATAATCATAAATGTTTCTTGAGCAGCAAATCAGCATATTAGAATGATTTCTGAAGACTGGAGTAATGATGCTGAAAATACAGCTGCGCATCACAGGAACAAATTACATATATTCTAATAGAAAACAGTTGTTTTAAATTGAAATAATATTTCACAATCTGTACTGTATTTTTGATCAGATAAATGCAGCTTTAGTGAGCAGAAGAGACTTCTTTCAAAAACATTTAAAAAATATTTTTCCAAACTTTTGACCACTAGTGTATTTTCTGTAGGGAAGTAAAGGGAATCCCAGAATGCACTGCAACAAGCCACCATAGAGATAATATCTGACCTTGCTGCCGGTCAGCTGCTGTAGATGAGGCTTCAGATCTTCACCGATGACAGAATAAATGGCCACCAAACAAAACACACTGGCCTTGCGTACGCTGCTCTCTGTGTTATCATAACCCTGAAACACACACACGTTCATCTCGCTGTTTTCATCAGTGTGAGCACAGAGGTGTGTGTGTGTGTGAGTGAGTGTGTGTGTGTATGTGTGTGTGTGTGTGTGTGTGTGTGTGTGAGGGAGAGAGTGTGACAGCGCAGGAGAGTGAAC